CACGCTCCCGAATTGGACGAACCTTTCCCTACAGGATAATTAGGGGGGGAGGGGGAGGAGGACAAGCTAGGTGCGCTCGCGCCATATCTGACGTCCCACCCCTCCCTCCCATCCCTTATCATGGCGTAGATCTCGCACAGTCGGATTTCGTAGCAGGGCATCGCACTACATGGCGTAGCGTGTTGAAGATCAACGCGTATCCTAGAATAGCATGGCGTGGCGACGCCCCAAAGTGGAAAGGGGGCTTCTGCAGACCAAAAATCAACGAATCGACACCGAATGTGTCATCACTTCCGATGGCTCTTTCGGGGGGGGAGGGGGGGGGCACTTTTTAGATTTTGGGGCCTATTTGGAAGGACCGAAAACCATGCGGTGGCATGGCGTTAGAAATAATGACGCCAGCGCTCCAGCGGGAGCACGATTCGGAACAAGCGAAAGCGCGGAAATGAGGCCAGCGCTGCAGCAGGAGCACGATTCGGAGGACGCGTAGCCTGACATAGCATGGCGTGGCGACGCCCCAAAGTGGAAAGGGGGCTTCTGCGACCCACAAGATCACCGAATCGACACCGAATGTGTCATCACTTCCGATGGTTCTTTCGGGGGGGCATGTTTTAGATTTTGGGGCCTATTTGGAAGGACCGGAAACCATGCTGTGGCATGGCGCTGGAATGAAATTGACGCCATCGCTCCAGCGGGAGCACGATTCGGAACGAGCGGAAGCGCGGAAATGAGGCCAACGCTGCAGCGGGAGCACGATTCGGAACGAGCGGTAGCCCGAAAATGAAGCCAGCGCTTCAGCGAGAGCAGCATTTTGAAACAAACCAAGCGAAAACCCGTTTCCCGGGAATCCTGCTGGTAGAAAACAAGTACGCGGATGTGGGCCAAACATCACCCCGACGCCACCAGGGGAGAGAGGAGAGTAGTATTCCTATTGTGTCACTGTGGAGGAGGAGGAGGAGGAGGAATGGGGAGGAGGAGGAACGAGGAGGAGGAGGAGGAGGAGGAGGAGGAGGAGGTGGACGAACCCAGATTTTTTGTCCAACGCCAGCCCCACCAGTTCCAGCCCCCACATTGAATCCGCTTTCCCTCAAGTGGGCGATCACCACACCACACGAAATTCACGCGGATACGGGGCCCCACAGTGTGGACGTCGCGTTTTTGCGCCCTTCGCCTTCCGTTGGCGGGCCGGCCGCCGCTTGGCTTCTACTGGCCTTCGGCCGATGGCGCGACGCGCCGAAGGTGAGGTCATGTCTGCAACGCCCTGTACGACCTTGCCTTCTTCCGCGTCCCAATCTTCATTTGCATGCTCATTCCCCCCCACACCGTCTTCTCACGCTCACACCCATCCTCCTCACCCGCTTTGTTCTCCTCGTCCCCATCCTTCTCCGCGTAAGCACGGCGACTAGCAATGGGAGATCTGAATGCACGTGCCAGACCGAAGTCACGACCAAACAAAGAGGGGCCTTCGTTGCTGAGCACCATGGTGGTAATGTCCGACACCAGCATGCCCGCCTCGTGCCTGGAGGGCGCGACGCTGCTGGACTACCTCGCACTGGCTTTGAAACCTGCTTCCTCGCCCCACCTCGTGCGCCTTTTCACGTTGCATCGATTTTGATCGGCTTCCTCCTCCTCCTCCTCCTCCTCCTACTTCTGCTCCTGCTCCTGCTCGCCCCCTTGCTCCTGCTCCCTCACCCCTGGCTCATTCCTCGTTCTCCTCCCTCTCGCCGCGTCGTCGTCGTCGTTGCCCCCCTCCTCCCACCAGGGCGGGAGTGTCGGGAGTGTCCCAGAGGGAAGCGCCCAAGAGGGGGGTCGCAAATCATGGCCCGAGGCATGTGCGCGGACTGGGGAAGGGGTGCAGGGAGTGCACCGAAGCAAGAAGCGGGGCCATGCAATCTGAGGAGACATCGTGGCCCCGGCCATGATATCCACCCCGCCCCCCCCCCCTGCAGTCGAAACGCTGTCATAAGGAACCCTAGGTAAGGGACGAGGCCCCTCTGTTCCAGAAGTTCTGCTTCGTTCTACCACAGAAGGACTGGAAGAAACCCAAGAAGAGCCGCCAAGCAGTTCAGCAACACCGAGGCCCTCCCCCAACGCAGAGGGCCCCCTCTGCGGCGGCCCGGCCGCAGTCAGCACGCCCCTCTTGGCCGCACGCGAGAGCGGAGGCGGTGGACGGGGAGAGAAAGAGCAGCGGCGGAGGAGGAGGAACAGGAGCAGGAGGAGGAGGAGGAGGAGGAGCAGGAGGAGGAGGAGGAGGAGGAGCAGCAGGAAGAGGAGGAGGAGGAGGAGGAGGCGGAGGAGGAGGAGGAGGAGGAGGAGGAGGAGGAGGAGGAGGAGGATTTTTTTTGACACGGCCATGACTGACACAACGTTGGTGCCAGTGAAAGAACCTCTGGCGGTGACTGAGCGGGACGGGCCGCACGGACACGAAGGCGCCAGAGGTCAATCGGAGTCACCAGACTCCACGGTGCTTACACGAGCAGCTTGCAAGGGAGCCTCGTCCTCCTCTTGGTGAATAGGCGTGCACTCACGCCCCGGCTGCTCTCGCTCGGACGCCTCACCCTCTTCGTGGGGAATGGCGCCCTGCTCTGCACCTGGCCCTTCTTGTGGGGCAAAAAGAAAAAGACCTTCGAGATGGCCCGCAGCTCTGATGGTACCAGACGACGACGACAGGTCGACGACTTGATCTCTCTGCTGGGCACACTCAAGAAGGGGCTCCACAGCTGGAGCCTGCTCGGCAAAATGCCTTGTATGATGGACTTCTTGGTCCCCAGCAGCAGCTACGATGGCCGACGACGAAGACGACTGGTCGACGACAGTATCGTGCTGCTGGGGATCCTCGCCCACTGCCTGCAGGTCCTCAGGAGACGCCTCAATCACGACTCCGTCGATCTTGGGATGGCGACCCTTGAGCACTCGAAACTTCCAACGCTCTAGATTGTTCCTCGTTGGGGCCCTGCAAACCTTAGCTAGAAGCGCTAGGGGGCCCAACGTAGAAATAGCTTTGCACCTAACACAAATGAACAGCTGAGATCGATCGCTGCAATCGAAGCTCAACAACATGTGGCCTCTGGCGGCCACCTGTAGCAACGGCTCTGGCACCTTCCCCGTGCAACCTCCAGTTGACGGCGCGTCGCTCTCACCGAAAACGAAGACAGGGTTGTGCCGACGTATCCTGAGGCATACAGCACGCCTCCAGTATGACCTATGCCATTCCCATTCGTGCTCAAAAGTCTCGGGGCCCGCGGGCTTCTGGCGGGGCTCTCTGGGGTTCAAGTGGACCCCTGTGAGATTCAGGGCAGGCCACTTGGGCAGCAAACGGGCCGCCAGCCTACAAACCGCACGAGACACCTTGACTTTCCTGTCTACTTCATCAAGCTCAGCCTTGGAGCCTGTGGGGTGGGCGAGCAGTCCTTGACGTGCGGCGCGATCGGCCGCGTCATTCCCGAATGTATCCCAGCGTTGCTGGGCAGTCAAATCTGGACTGTCAGCCACATGCGCTTTTACTTTCCTAACTGCAGACAGGTCGCACGATTGGGCAAATAACATGTTGCCCGAATCCATTTTCTTATATGAGAACCTGGCCTCAGGAGGAAGCGCGAAGGTGCTGGCCACATTCGCGCAACCCGAAAAACCTTCCGAGGGGCCTCCTAGGTTCTGTGAGACCATGGCGAGGGCCGCAAACTCTCCAGCTTGGGGGGTCTGGGGGAGCGGAGCCCAAATAGGCCCACACACCGAGCAGGTCTCCTGAGCATCCTGGGTGACCTGTACATCGCCCCAAGTGGCCCTACTCAGCTCCTTGATAGGGTGTCTGGTACAGGACCCGCCCATGAATATATATCCCTTAACCTGGCCAGGATCTACGACGTCTTCTGTTCCTTCGGGCGTGTGAGTGATAATACCTCCTTGCTGTCGTGGGCGTGGTAGCACATCTCCACGGTGTTCAAACAGCCCCTTAGAGAAAAACAGTGTTTCCTTGGCGTCCGATCAATCGATACTTCTAGCCTGGGTGATCAAATCGTCATCGTCGATCAAATCCCTCCTATCATCGTCGGCCGCACTGCACTCCCACAGACGGTGGAAGATCGTGTCACGCGCTCCGCAGCCTAAAGGACACTGAGCATATGGCAGAGCGTACCCCAAGTCGAGCGCACGCTCGTTGGTCCACACCGCTCCGCACACCAGCGACTTGATACAACCCGTCTCGTAGTATGTATACCGTGACGAACGAAGCTGTGGCGACACCACATCATAACATACTCGACAAGGTACATTGTGAACTCTACCTGCCTCACTTTCGAGCTGCCTCAAAACTCCATCGTGCAACATCTGTTTTATGAGCGCTGGGGAACATGACGTTAAAATGATGTCTTCTCCGAAATCGTTGACCATGACGCAGAAACTCTTCATGTCCCATTGCATCCTGAGGAGGCTGAGGCGGAGCGCTGAGAGGGGACCCGTGACCTTCTTCCCGGCGGGCTCTTCTTTGGTGACCCCGTAAGCCGACCCCCGAGCTTCCCTCAAAACTCCGAGCGACAATGTATTAGGCGAGGATCTAACTTGGTTCGAGAAGACCTCCTTAGCGTAGCGCACCACTGGTGCCACTGATCCATACCACGATGGATCACCGTGCAACAACAACAACAGAGAGGTGAAGGACCTCATGCCTGCAGACGGCCGTAAGATAGAGCCCACAGCACGCCGAGCAGCCGCCAACTCGTGATCAGACTGGCCGTGCACTTCAGCTCCATAAGACAGGCCTGCTAGAGGTCCACTCGTGAAAATACTTCGGCAGTGCTTGCCCAGCACCTGCTTGACTCGCTTGAAACGTTTCGTTCTCTTCTTGAAAACAGCTGCTCTCTTCTGCTGCTTCTGTCCTCGTCCCTTTCTCCTCCTGCTCTTCCCTGCCGTATCATCGATTCCCAAATTCACTGCAGACTCCACGTACGAGGCTCCGCCGTACCCTCCTAGAGCTAGCCTGATGGCTTCTCCAGTCTTGTGTGATGAACATATGACCGACGCTTTCTCATGGGCAACTTGTACGCACATCTCCTCAGTGAGTCCAACGTATAGCTGTGCCGCCGTGTGAATAATATAATGTGCTACTTGCTTGGGCTTACCTGTGGACGACATGCCATAATCATCGATATAGATATCCAAGGGCGTGCGGGGCGGGAAAGTGATGCAGTCTACTGTGGGAATGGCGTACGCTCTAATATAAGTTGTCGCCAACGAACAGCCTGCGATACCTCCTGAAGATGCAAAATGGGGGCCATGCACCATGCTGGCCATCGCCAAGAAGCGTGGACCCTTGTTCGCGGCGATGCTTACACGGTACAGCTGCTTCGGCAACGCTAGCAGCTCGCATCTATCTCCCAGGATAGACATCACAATAGTCTCGTAGTGCTTCAGGAGGTCCCAGGGAACCGTACAGGCCACCGTCTTTCCTTCTTTCTTGGGCGTTCCCTTGAGGCTCTTTGACTGCTTATGGGGCCCAGGACGAACAGCCTTTTCCGACCTCACCGCTTGCCCCCAGACCGCGTCCGAAGCTCCCGAGAAGGGCCCCGCCGCCAAGTACGGGCGCCAATTGGCAGCCTCCCAAGACGCCGCAATTGGTCTCCGAAGCTTGCCCCCAAAGCGATAAAAAACTGCTGAACAACCCAATAGGTCTCCAACCTCCTGCAGGTTTCGCTAGAAGTGGGACCACAATCGCGCGGACTTGGTTCGGCAGGATGGAGGTCGCCTCCATGACGGCATATAAAGACATCAATGCCAGCAAACGTTGATCACAAATGCTGCTGAAGTGGCGCATGTGGAAGCCGTCCACGGAGGTCGCGGACGTGAGCTTATACCGATGCGAAACTGCCCTCATCTCTGGTGGCGGCACACAAGCGAGGGGCTGAATGTACTCTACTTGTTCGGGCAACTCTGGCGTCTTGGAGGCCTGCCACAGCTTACCAAATTTATGGGCCTCAGAGGCCAACGACGATTTGGAGTCCGCCAGCACAGCCCCTTGGGCCGAGAGGGCGGCGGTGGGTTGCCACGCTTTGGGGAGGCGCGTCCACGCATGAGCTCTCCCCGCCCCTTTATCGACCCCGTCACATAACCAGGCCTTCCAAGACTTCTGAGCCTCCGACTTGGCCTTCAAAGAGTACGCCCGCAAGTCCTCGGAGATCTTATCTAAGATGCTGCAGCCCAGATCTAACTCCCCAAGAACCTCCGAGACCTCGAAGATCTTATCTATGTCCTGAGCCTGGATAAAGCCTTTGATGCACTCATACGTCTCTGAGAACTCTTCCAAATGTCGGCCTATGCAGGCCGGAGGATCGGCTAGGCAAGCACGTGCACCACGAAGCTGGCGGAGCACACGAGAGCGCGCTGGCGTGGGGACTGTCGGTGTCGATCCTGGCGGAGCTCGGCTCTCAAAAAGCATATCGGATCGCGGCAACCATGCCGACGCCCCAACTTCGGAAGCTGCAGCCTCCGTCGCCTCCGGAACGTCCAGGGCGCGCAGCAGGCTGATAAAAAGACGGAACGTGCTCTCCAACCAGCGCAGCGTGAACAGAGCAGGTTGCCTGACGTCTTTCTTTTTGTCTACTTCTAATGCTGACCTCCAAATCAACTTAGGCAACCTGCCCCTCGTACCCAACAGCGGGATGTCGATCTGTCGACTGGCAATCAACTCTGTTTCAGCTGTGCTAGCCCAAAACTTGTACGCCAAATTCATGCTCCTCTGAATCTTATTACGTGGGGCTCCTTCGCGAACCAGTGAGAGCCCGTAAGTGGCGCAATCCAAGGCGTCGTCCCAAGACGGGGGCTCAGGGCAAGGACCTATAGGGCGCTGCGCGGGTATCACTGGAGGCTTGGAGAACGTGAGGAACTTAATGTCCGCGAGGGTGGGGTAGAACTTAATTTGGACGGGCGTGTGAGTCTTCAGATCGCTCTCCAAAATCACCCTGGTGGACTGGATTCCTTTCGACAGGCCTCCCGAGACCACCATGTAGTCTAACAGCCTGACCGTGCTCGAGGCCGTAGTCGCACACGTACCCTTCACTTCTGGGTACACTATGCAACTGGATAAACTGCCTGCCAAGTCACATTCATGTAGCTCAGCTGGCTCCATGTTGAAGTCGCCTCCGATGATGTGAGGCTTGCGGTAGCTCTGCGCCACTGCTCCGGTCGCGGCCAAAATCTTGAGGTCCTCAGCGGAGAGCCCCTCGGAATCGCGCAAGTAGGTCGAGATGCAAAGTATCGATTCACCCCCAGGAATCTGCACCCAACAACCGACAGCTCTTGCTTTGTATATTTTGCGGCCAGCCTCCAGGTCGTAGCATCCCAAGAACGAACGGACGAAGATCGCCGCCCCGCCCGAAGCTCCTGAGCCTACTCCAGCCTCAGCCGCCACGAACCGAGACTTCCAGCCTTGCTTGAGGGCCCAGCTGGAGGCCTCTTCAATTTGGTCGCCGAGGACCAACTTGTGCTCTTGCATCAAGATAATATGTGCTTCCGAACGTTGCAACCAGGGCTTAGCCGATCTCCGGGAGGTGACATTGGCCGTCTCCACAACCAACTCAAAACTTTCCAGTCCAGGGCTTCCTAGACGCAGAAACTCACCCAGGGGCTCGGAGCCTGGCTCGGGGGGCGGAAAACGGCAAAGCCTACTTAAAAGCTGGTGCACCTCTGCAGGGTCTGGCGCACGCCCACTCTCTCCAGGCGGCGCCTCTGCACTCGCAAAAGGGTGCCCCTCTGGGGGGGCTATCAGATGAGGAAGACGTTTCTGATGCTCAGGCCGAACAGCTGGCCCCTCTGGTTGCCGTCCCCCTGCGCGCTCATGCGGATGCCGCTGCAGCCTGCTCTGGTGCAGGGGGAGGTGCCTAGGACGCTGCACGTCGAGCTCGTTCCCTGACGTTCTCCCCGCCTCCAGCAGCCCCAGCCGCGGCCGAACACGAGGACCCCGAAGCTGGAGCTCCTGTCCCTGCGGCCGTCGCTGCTGCACCCTGCGCTGCATCTCCTCCACCTGCAGCTTGATCCTCTTCTTCTGCTGCTTTGCGTCGTTTCCTCCCCAGTCTTTCCATGTGCTGCGCGTGCTGCTGCTTGATAGTGTCCAACTGACTGATGATACCGCCGAAGGCTTCCTTGGTAACCCTGGCGATGTGTGCCTTGAACTCGTTCGTTCTGTCGCGCAGAATCTGCTTGTCGCCCTCAGTGACAACGTACTCGTCCTCAGGCACGCTGAAGATCTCCCCCGCGTCCACGAACTCGAGACAGTCCAACTTGCCGTCCACAATATCGCGAAGCTTGAGACCAGCAGACTGAGGAGCAACCACCTGCTTATCACACACTGAGCTGTGTAGCTGGTCCACCAGAGCTTTGTGCTGCGCATCGGCCTCCTCGAGCTCGCTCGTGAGCTGTTGGACGACTGTGGCCTTCTCTTGACACCAGGCTCTCCACTTCTCCAACTCGTCGACTTCACCGTTGAGCTTCTTCTCGAGGAACTGAACTCGCTGATGGGCTGCGGTGGCCCTCTGCTGGAGCGGCTTCTCCTCTGGCACTTTGTTGGCCGCGCGGAGCCGCTCCAGCGCGACCTTGTGCTGGCTGGCTGCGGCCACATCACCAAAGCGATTGGCCAAGGACACCATGCGCTCGAGCTCCTCCTCGCTGAGCGCCTCCCCTGACGGAATCGGCTGGGGTCCTGGCTGCAGGGCTGGCGGCCCGTTCGCCCAAGCTCCCAAACGGTCGAGCTCGGTATCACTGGGCTCGGGCCTGGGCGCCTTGCAGTGCTTGCAAAACCAGTAGCTCCCCAAGTTCTTGCCACAGAGACATTGCCCACACTTCCACAAGGTCTGCTGCTGGCTGCCTTGGTATGAACGGCCTCCAGCTCCTTTCCCATAGCCTTTGTTGCCCTTGTCGTTCCCCGTGTAGCTCCAGCCGTACCATGCGTCGTTGCGCTCGTTGGCGCGGCGCTGCCATGGCGGCGTGGCTGGTGCCATCCTGTCGCCAGGAAGGCGGGGATGCTTGCAACTGAATCTGGCTCGCCTGTGCAGCGTGCCGTTTTGAAGTTCGCACAGGCAAGGCCCCCGCTCTCGGATCTAGCGGTCTGGGCCCAAAACGGCTGGGAGGAGGGGGAGGAGGAGGAGCAGGAGGAGGAGGAGGAGAAGGAGGCGGAGGAGGAGGAGGAGGAGGAGCAGGAGGAGGAGGAGGAGGAGGAGGAGGAGGAGGAGGAGGAGGAGGAGCAGGGTCACCGCTGACAAAATCGGCTCCTCCTGCTCAGAGGCCGCTGCGGCGGCGCCGGCCCGCCCTCCGCTGGCACGGGCGCGCCGGCGTCCTGGCGCGGGCCAGGGCAGGGAGGGCGGGTCGAGGGCCGGAGGGCGAGGGGGAGGGGCAGCCGGAAGAGGCAGGGAGGGGACTCGGAGAGAGAGAAAACGGAAGAGGAGAGAAGAGGGAGGAGAAGGGGGGGGGGAGAGAGAGAGAGAGAGAGAGAGAGAGAGGGAGAGAGAGAGAGAGAACAAAAAAAAAAAAGAGGGGGAAAGAGGGAAGCAGAGAGCAAGAGGAAATTGAAGGAGAGAGGGGGAGAGAGGGAGAGGAGGAGAGCGATGGGGGGGAGAAGTGAGAGAGAAAGGAGAGATGAGCACACCGCACACGCCAAAAGCCAGAGGGCGGAGGGGGGAGCGGAGCTGGAGGGGGGAAATAGCGGGGGAGTAAAAATTGGCTCGGAGCGCACCGTTCGGGCTCCGCGCGCGGGGAATGCGGAGGCGGCCCTCGACGCGCCGGGGCCCCGGAGCGCCCTCTGGCCGGGCTGCCTCCCACGGTCGCCGCCCACGACCCTCCCGGAGCCATGTCCGCCACCGCCGCCTCTGCCGCGGTCTCACGATCGCCCCTCGCCGCAACACGGCCACCGCTATCGGCACGGGGAGGCCGGGACGGCCACAGCATCAAAACGCGGAAATGCGGAGGAATCGGCTCACGCCGAGCGTCCAGGGCCACTGCAGCAGCCTTGAACGTCCAAGGGTTCCTACCTCTTCCTTCCGCTCCATTTCGTTTCCTCCACCTGCCCTTCATCCCATTGCAGCGGATCCTTCTCTCCCCCACTATCACCGACGATCGTCGTTCTGGATCGCTTTGTTCCAAAGCTGCCACGACGTTCCTGAAACGCCCAGGCTTCTGTCCCCCAGGGTTGGGAGAGCGTCGGGCACAACGGTCAGGAAGCGGGCGCCCTCAGGAGAATCGGCCCAGCTTCGTGTGCACAACACCGCTGGCCCCGCTGGTGCCCAGATGCCGTCCAGTCCGAGACGAGGAGGCCGCTGGTCATCCTACTCGTCGTATGCGATCCTTCTGGGGAACCTTGTGCGGGTGGCCGCAGGTCTCCCAAATAGAACAAGTGCCCTGCAGCACCGTGCATCAGCATCACCATCGCTCGCACTGCCACTGTCAACGTCACCGTCTCACCGTCACCATCACCATGATCATGATCATGGTCATTACCCATCATCACTACCATCACCATCACAAACACCACGACCACCACCATCATCACTATCATCATCATCATCATCATCATCATCATCATCATCATCATCATCATCATCGTCATCATCACCATCATCATCATAATAATCATCATCATCATCATCACCATCATCATCATCACCATCATCATCACAATACCATCACAATCACCAGCATCAGCATCAGCATCAGCACCACCACCATCAGCATCAGCATCAGTATCAGCATCATCATCAGCAGCATCATCATCGTCATCATCATCACCACAATCACTACCATCATCACCATCAACACCACCAACACTACCACCACCATCATCATACAACTGATCCTGACCGTCGCCAAGATGACCACCACAATCACCATCAATATCATAATGTTCATGATGATGGTGATGATGATGATGCTGCTGATGATGGTGCTGACTATCATAATGATGCTTCTGTATGATATATGATGATGGTGCTCAGCAGCGGCAGAATCATCAATATCCTCCTCCTCCTCCTTATCCTCGTCGTCCTCGCGTCGTCGTCGTCCTGCTCAATTTGGTTTCTTCATGAATAGCCCCTCCCTGTCGGACACAGAGGCCAGTCGGAAAGGCGGGCTGGGCATTTCGCCTTGGACTTCCTTGCCGCTCATGAGCCTGAAGCTTAAAAACTGGCAGCAGTTTCATGATGGAGGGCGGGTCCTTTTCATGTGGCTCTCGCCTTAGCGCCGCGCAAATTCCTTTGAGCAAATTGCAGGAGCTTCGCGGATTGAAGACAAGTGGTTTTCAAAATGTGGCTCGGTCCTTAGCGCCGCGCACTTTCGTTTGAGCAAATTGCAGGAGCTTCGCGGATTGAGGACGGTTGGTTTTCAAAATGTGGCTCTCGTCTCAACGCCGCCCGCATTCGGTGTAAACATGTGCAAGAGCTTCACGGATTGAGGGCGGCTCTTTTTCGAAAGGTGGCTCTCGCCTCAGCTCCGCGCACATCAGTTTCAACAATTTGCAGGAGGTCCACGGATTCTCCAACGTACCAGAAACGACGTTTCGGAGCGATTCAAGACGGCTCGGGAGCAACAGCTGCGCTGACTCGCGGTGTTGGAGTCCCAGGAACAGTGTTCTTGCACGATTGCGTAAGGATCTTCGAGACGCAATAGTCAGGTCGACTCGTGGCGTTCGAGGTCATGTTCTTATGGCAAGCTTCAGGGTTTTCAAACAGCTGTCTCCCAACGGAGCATTTCCATCAGTGGAACTGAACCCTTGTAGGGAGGGGCCTATGAAGAGGGAGCTTGGAGGGGGGGTATTCCAAGATCGTCGATGAGTATTGGATTTACACTGGTCCTCCTCCGCCTCCTCCTCCATTTCTTTCCCACGCTGCCCTTTGATGACTGTGGTAGACAGCCCTGGCACGGGCCATCCTTAGCCGCGGCCTCATATCCCTGCTCCTGCTGGTCCCCCCTTCTGCTCCTTCACCAGGCCCCGACCTCGTCCTTATCCCCCGCCCCCTCCTCCGCCAACGCCGCCAGGCCCACGTGCCAGACAGAGGTCAGCTGGCCCCCGGCGGAGGCGGAGGGGGAGATGCGAGGCGGTGGAGGCGGGCGGGGTCGGCGGCGGCGGGGGCGGAGGAGGAGCGAGAGGGAAGACGACGGCAGGGCCCACGCCGCCAGAGGAGGCCGCAGCCAGGCAGGACACTCGCCCGTCCTCCACACCCTCCGCCGCCGCCGCCCCTCCCTCCGCCTCCGCCGCCCCTGCCTCCGCCTCCGCCTCCGCCGCCTCGCGCATACTCCGCCCCCTTCCCAAGACGAAGACAAGATGAGGAGAAATCTGGACGAGGATGAATCGGGAATCCCTCGGAGCCTGAGGGCCTGGAGAACGTATCAGGCGCCGCGGCCGCTCCAGCTGGAACGCTCCGAGAGCGCTCTGGAACTCCCTGAGAGCGCTCCAGAACGCTCTGGGGCGATCCTCATTCTGGGCCTCTGCCGTGTCCGTCGCCAGGCCCCTGCCCTGATGCAGGCCACGGGTCCTGAGGGAAACGAGCCCTGGACCCTGGACCCCCCCCCCCCCCGGGACCGGCTCTTCCTCCCGAGTCCTTCCTGGAAGGTCCCGGGGAGGCCCCTGGGAGCCCCCTGACGGAACACGAAATCAGACTCCCTCCGCTCCCGCCTCCCTCAGCTCCCGCCAGCTTCCTGGCGGCAGGCCTCCGCCGCCAAGTCCGCGCGGGCTCGCGCGCCCCGACCGGTGGCCCCAGACCGGCCCGCCGCTGGCGGGGTCCTGTCGGGCCGCGGCCTCCTCCGGCGGCGAGGGGGCCGCCGAGAAGAGCGGGGACCTCTCCACCGACGGCTCGGGGCCGAGCCCGGCGGGCTCGCCGCCTGAGGGTGCGCGCTCCGGCACCGCCCCCCTGCGCTCCTGCTCCCGCTGGCCGCGGCTGCTTCTCGTCGTTCTCGACGTCGTGGTCCCTCTCTCTCTCTCCTCCTCCGCCTCCTCCTCCTCCTCCTCCTCCTCCTCCTCCTCCTCCTCCTCCTCCTCCTCCTCCTCCTCCTCTCCTCCTCTCTCTCCTCTCCTCCTCCTCCTCCTCCTCCTCCTCTCCTCCTCCTCCTCCGCCTCCTCCTCCTCCTCCTCCTCCTCCTCCTCCTCCTCCACCCTCCTTCCTCCTTCCCCATTCCTCCTCGTGCTCCTGCCCCTGCTCCTGCTACGGGAAATTACGGTCAAGAGCCTTTGCTCAGCGCGCCGCGGCGGCGGACCCGGCGACACGCTATGCCTTGCAAGCGGATGGCGTGTCCCGCCGCTCCGCAGGGCGAGCGGCTGGGAAAACCTCGAGACGTTGACGCCTGGGGGCTGGGACCTGGATAGCGTGTCGCGCCGAAGCGTGGCAGGCCAGAGCTGGTGGCGCGACACGCGGAGCCAGAATTCCTGACCGCAGACGGTACGGTGAGTGCCCGAGGACACGATGCAACCACAGCACCAGGCCCCCCTCGAGCTGCGAGCGCTCGCCCGACCGCCAGACGGGCGGCGTCGGCCGCGGCGAAGAGCGTACTCTCCTGATCATTCCCCTTGCGAGCCTCGACCTCCTGATCCTAACGCCCTTTCTCATCTCGATGATTTTCCTCTCGCCGAGAAGCGCACGCCCTTTCTTCTGTATGCAGTGACAGAAACTCCCGATCAACCGCAGAGCGGCCGGCTAGTCATGCTTCTCCTTCGAGCTTCTAGCTGCGGGCAGTGTCGGCTGATCGCCCCGGTGCCCTCGCCTGCTCCTCCCTCTCCTCCTCCTCCTGCTCCTCCTTCTGCTCCTCCTCCTCCTCCTCCTCCTCATCATCAGCATCATCATCATCACCATCATAATCCTCTTCCTCTTCCTCTTCCTCCTCCTCCTCCTCCTCTTGCTGCTGCTGCTCCTTGCCGCCTGGCCACCTGCTCCCCGCCCTGCCCTGGCACTCTTTCGTACCTCTTCATCACAATCCTCATCATCCTCTTTCTGAGATCACCTATGCATGGCAGAAGCAAGAACCCCCTTGGTACAAGCACTGCTTGGAGATTCGTCTCCATTCTCATGCATAGCGACCTCCTCCCCTCATCTCTCTTCCCTAGGCTCCGCCCCCGAGTCCTCGTCCTTCTCTTCCTCTAGTTATCCTCCCCCCCTCCTCGGACTCGTCCTCGTCCTCGTCCTCCTCCTCGTCCTCCTCCTCCTCCTCCTCCTCCTCCTCCTCCTCCTCCTCCTCTCATCATTCCTTTGCTCGTCCTACTCGTCCTGGTGCTCCTCCTCCTACTCCTTCCCTCTTCTCTTTCGTTGTATCCTCCTCATTCCCCTTCTTCGCATCCCCGACCTCCTCTCCCTCTTCCTTTTGCGCCTCCTCGTCATCCTCCACCCTCTCCTCGTCCTCGACACCCTCTTTCCTCCGCCGCCCCCTTCTCCCCCTGATCCCCCCTATCCTTCCTGTCGCTGCTCCGTTTTCCTGACCGTGGGGCGCACGCTCCGTCACGCACGCAGGAACGGGCCCCAGTCGTCCGCGTCGACGCCCCTCGTGATCAGGCGCACGTGCCCCGCGATCAGCTTCTCCATGTCCGTCTCCCGGGTGGCGGTGGCCGTGTAACTACAGGTGGTGTGCGTCCGGCCCTCCCTGTCTGCGCCGAGGTCCTCCGTGACCAGCTTCACCACCCACGGCCCAGAAGTGGCACCCGGCGCCGGCCGGTCCGTCACGAACGCGTACCACGCGGCGCGGACCTGGCCCGACCTGGACACCGCCACGAGGTACTTGGCCTGCGCCGCCAGGGGGCGGGCGAGAGGGCCATGGACGGGGGAGACGAGGGCGAGGGGGGAGGGAGGCGAGGGCGAGGGGGGAGGGGGAGGGAGGAATAGCAGGAGGAGGGGGAGGAGGAGGAGGAGGAGGAGGAGGAGGAGGAGGAGGAGGAGGAGGAGGAGGAGGAGGAGGGAGGAGGAGGAGGAGGAGGAGGAGGAGGAGCAGGAGGAGGAGGAGGAGGAGGAGGAGGAGGAGAGGGAGGAGGAGGAGGAGGCGGAGGAGGAGGAGAAGCACGACGACGAGCAGGAGGGGCACGGCGACGACCAGGAGGAGGAGCTGGAATCGGAGTCGGAGGAGGATCGGCGGCGCGCGAGGGGGGGAAGTGAGAAGGATAATGCCTTCTCAGAAGGCGGCGGGACAGAATCCCTCGCGCCTTCTGCATTTTTTTGTTTTCGGGTAAGGCCTGGGGAGGTAACTACGAGCACTGTGGCGGGTGTCCCCCGAGGGGTCTGGAAAACTATCGAAATCATTGAAATCAATGAAAAATGAACGTTTTGGGATGGTTTTTTTTTTTTTTCCCAAAATTTATCATGTTTAAGCAACATGTGAAAAAAAGTGCTGTAAAAATGGCAGACAACCTTGCCGTCGGGTATTTCGGGTTCGTTTTTTTCATCATTACGCATGCGCGTGCGCCGCGCGCGGTCGCGAAATGAGGCCCTCGTCGCAGGGCAGAGCGCATTTCGGATCAGGTATGAGGCATGATCTGAGCGCGTTTCCAAATGTTTTGGCTCCCGCTTGAAACATCACGAAACAAGCCTACTCCCAGGAGGGCGTTGGCATCTACATCGCCTATATAACGGCTGTTTTTTTTTGCGCGCATACCGCATGTAAGGGTTTTTTACGCGATTGCACGCGCAGCCCAATGTTAAGTGTGTGTTGTTTTGGGGTGGTCTTACACAGCCATGTACGTGATCATGCCACATTACACTACACCTCGCAATATTAGATGTTAAGGTTATCCAGACAATTTCACGGCGGTCGGCAGGGTTAGCCAGCCAAACAGCCAGCAACCGACTTGCCAAACCCGCGGCTACCCAACTAAACCAGCCAGCCAACCATCCAGCCAACCAGCCATACAGAAGCACATCCAGCCAACCATCCACCAACCCCCCAACCAACCAGCCAGCCCCGCGCGACTCTCGCTCGAGACTTCCTCGCAATACGCGCGTGGCCACCGCGGTCGCAGGCGGAATAAGGCGTCAGCCTACTAGATAAAATGGGGGGTGGACGAGTCGACGAGAGGATGGAGCCTACGACTCCCGACCCGACGGCGGCAACACGAGTGTAGCAGAGCCATCTCCACGTCGCATTTTCTCTCAAGCGCTCGCGCTCGACCGACCCGCCAGCGGACGGGCGAGTCTCGAGCTGAGTCATGCTCTGCTCCGCAGTCTCCGCCGCCTCTCGCAGCACCCCCGCTGCTTGGCGGGCGGGCCTGGCGGCGACCGTCGCCGCCCTCGCACGTGCGCCCTACGCGCGGGAGGAGGACCACCTCGTGAACGTTTTCTGATTCGGCGTTTGTTTCAACATTTGGCGGAAGGGCGGGGGGAGGGGGGGTGCCTCCTGACATCTGTTTAGAGACCCCGCCTGCTTGAAACAGGCGCCAGACACAGCCAAGGGCCAATATCTACTCTGATGGGGAGGGGGGGTGCGAGGGCCCGCGCCGATCGGCAAAACAAACAACGAATAAGAAAACGATCACCTCTAGTTTGTAACACCCCGGGCCCCATGCCGTCGGCCCAGGTCCCTGGGCACGGGGCAAAACAAGACACACGGCGCGGCGCCGTGCACAACTGCATAACAAATTCAGGTGGTGGTGCTCCCGCCCACGAGAGGAGGACGAGAGAGAGAGAGAGAGAGAGAGAGAGAGAGAGAGTGCGTGTGTACGTGCTGTATGTGTGATGACTAGTGGATCCCGCGACCCGTGGACCTCTCTTGGGGTCCGAACCGAACGCGCGAGCTTTTCAAGCTGCGACAAGCGTGGCGGCGGGTGCCACCTTGACTGGAGGAAGCCAGGAGATCCGAACATCTTCGGACCGCGTCGGACCGAGGTAAGTGGTGTGTGTGTCGTGTGGTGTGTGTGTGTGTGTCGTGTGTGTGTGTGTGCGTGTGTGTGTGCGTGTGTGTGTGTGTGTGTCTGTGTGTGTGTGTGTGCGTGCGTGCGTGCGTGCGTGCGTGCGTGCGTGCGTGCGTGTGTCGCGCGTGCGTCGTGCGTCGTGTGTGCGTGACGACGAGTCGTGGACTCCACGGGCCCTTCTTGGGGCCCGAATGCACGCATGCTTCAAGCTGCGTCCAGCCGCGGCGACGGGCCCGCGACGGGCGTCACCGTGCGACCCAGGACCCACAACCGAAAAAACTTAACATGATTCGGACCGAGGGTCCCGAGGGAGAGAGGCCGCTCCGAGCGGGCGGCTACCTACTTGAGGAAGTGGGTGGCTGCCTGCTTCATCTCCTTCGCCGTGGTGTGGAACTCGCTGTCCACCTCGACGTTGTCCTCTAGGTGCGGGGGTGAGCAAACAACAAACGACACCACGACACCACCCCATCCCCATCTACGGTTGCTCTACGGCCCATCGGCCCATCGGGGGGCCGTATACCATGCCGCGCTAAGCCCCATGGGGGCCGCAGGTGGGGCGGTGGCGTTTGTTGTCTGGCCCAGTCCAGGGTAGCAGGGGAGGCGAGGTGAGGGAGAAGGAGACGGCGGCAGAGTTGCGCGAGGGAGTAGAGGGAGGGGAGGGAGGGGAGGGAGAAGGGAGGGAGGTAGGCAGGGAGGGAAGGGAAAGGGAGGGGAAGGGCGGGGAGGGAGGGGCGGAGAGGAGAGGGGAGGGGAGTGGCCGGGAAGAGAGGGAGAAGGGCTCGGAGAAGGGAATATCCTCATCCCGCTTGCGCTTGCGCTCATCCGCCACCGCCTTGATGCGAGCGACGTTCGCGACCTCTTCTGGGAACAGCGGGCGCCGGACCTCTCCGAAGGTCGAGTCGCCCTCGGTGGGAGGGGAGGCGGCCGCCGCGATGATCGTGGCCGCCACGGCCACGATGGTCGTGTCGGACCGTCGGGCACCGTGTCGGACACCGTGTCGGATCGTGTCGGACACGTCGGACACCGTGTCGGATCGTGTCGGGCACCGTGTCCGACGCCGCGTCGGCCACGGCCGCCACGGCCAAGATGATCGCGGCCGCCACGATGACCGTCATCCGATCATCGTGGCCGCCACGATGATCGGACCTGATCGGCCACTGCTCGGCCAGATCGGCCTGATCGGAAAGGTCGGAGTCCACGTGGCCGCCACGATGAATCGTGGCCGCCACGATACCGACGATCGTGGCCGCCACGATAATCGGACGATTGGCGATTGGATGATCGGCCCGGAAAGATCGGTGTCCACGTGGCCGCCACGAGCATCGTGGTTGCCACGATGACCGTCATCCGATCATCCGATCATCCGATGATCGTGGCCCCCACGACGATCGGATGATCGGAGGATCTGATGATAAGAAAGATCGGAGTCCACGTCGACGTCGTCGGTCGTCGTCGTCGTCCTCGTCGACCTCGGCCTCGTCGTCATCGTCGTCAACTTCGTCAGTCGTCGTCGTCGTCGTCGTCGTCGTCGAGACGTCGCCGTCGTCACGTCGTCGTCGTCGTCTCGTCGTCATCTTCGTCAATAGTCGTCGTCATCGTCGTCGTCTTCGCCGTCGTCGTCGTCGCCGTCGTCGTCGTCGTCTCGTCGTCGTCGTCGTCGTCGTCGTCGTCGTCGTCGTCGTCGTCGTCGTCTTCGTCGTCGCCGTCGGGGCCGAGCCCCCAACAACGCGCGCGAAGTACAGCATCTGCGGATGCGCCGCAGGCTCCAGCCAGCGGCGCTCACCCCAGAACTCCACGCGGTAGTCATCCTGGGGACGGGGGCGAGGGGGGCGAGGAGGAGGGCCGTACGCATGGTCGCGAGGGCTCCTCGGGCCTCGGGATTCGTGCGGGCACCCTGGACCAGTGGCGGGCGGTTCTTCAATCCCAGGACTTTTTTGAGGGTCGGGGACGACGTCGGGGTGGCGTGGTGTATACTCTTTCCCTTGTTTTCCCGTGGAAACAACACAGCATGTATACATCAGGATGCCGTATACACCATAACCCGTTTTCTTGTGCAAATCTCAGTGCGGGACCGGAGCAAAATCATCGGTGCATAAAGTTCGGTCACTTACCTGGGCCAGGGGCACTTTTCTAGCAACACCCGAAAGAACAGCAGCAGACGCACAGCCTCTCCGAAGGACCGAAAGAGGAGGCGGGAGGGGGGACGTTGTGGAGTAGCGTGGTGTAAGACAAGGGCCTGTAAGGGTCTAAGGTGATAAGGATCAGGAAGAGGAGAGAGTGAGTAAGGACGGGAGGGAGACACGCACGCTCCCTGCCATCCCTTCCCTCCCCCATCCCGTCCTTCTCTCCTTCTCGATCCTCCTCCTCTCCTCCGCTCCTCCTCCTGACTCCTCCTCCTCCTCCTCCTCCTTCCCTCATCCTACTGGGGCTCCTCCTCCTCCTCCTCTTCCTCCTCCTCCTCCTCCTGCTGCTCTCTCCACCTCCTCCCTCGCCTCCTCATCCTCGTCTTTGCTCGATCCGGCCTGACGGCCTGTCCTTAGGGGACGTCTTCAGCTCCTTATGCACCACTGTAGTCGCACTGTTGGCCCAGGTCTCCCGCTTCGCGTTCTCGAAGTCGATGCGGACGTTCGCGGAGCGGCAGCACCGCGCATATGAGCTCACCTCGTGCCCGATCTCCACGAAGTTCTGCTCTGGTACAAGGTACAAGGACACTCCTAGAACTTCCCCGCACTTGTAGAACCTCTTCCACGTCATCGGGGGCTTCGACATGCACGGCACAACTTTCCCAGTGAACTGCAGCACGAACGTGAGTTTCTCCTGCTCCTTCGCCACCTGCGCCTTCTGCTCCTTCTGATCCTTCTGCTCCTTCTCCTGCTCCTCCTTCTCCTTCTGCTCCGTCTCGGGCTTCTCGGGCGCCACGCCCTCGCTGGCGCCGACGGCGACGGCCTCGGGAATGTCGAGCAGCACGGTCTTGAAAAAAAGCCCTTGCCTCTTGAAGTCGCCCTTCTTGTCGAGCCTGCCGTGCAAATGCCGCAGGTTTGTCCTCGCGATGAAGTTCTCTGTCAACCAGCCTTCGAGGCAATGCGCCGCAGTGAGGCACTTCCACATCTTGGACTCGACGTAGTGCGTCGGAGTCCATGCGATGGGGGCGTACAGGCTGGTCTCAGTTGGCTCGGCCGGCGAGGCGGTCTGCTGGTTCTGGTTCTGGGATTCATCCGAAGGCTCGGCGGAATCATCGACGATCTTCTTGTACAGCTCCTCAACGCGATTGTCCCAGTCGAGCTTCATGCTGCTCTCCTCCTTCTTCTTGCTCTCAACCTCCGCGAGGACGAGAAATTTCACGAACTCTTCCTTTTTCTTCATATGTGCGCATTGCTCCGTCTGGCCCGCTGCTTCCACCTTCTCCTTCAACGCCCGGAGTGTCTCCGAGTTGCGCTTGCTGGTCAGCCCACGCTCGACTTGCTGCCAATCCTGATCCGTCCTCATCCTCAGTGGGCCCACCCTAGCGCCCTGCTTGACCAGCTTGTGCCACCTGTCCGCCCAGTCGTCCTGAGAGTCACACTGGAGATCCGCAAGAGCTGCATTGTCGAGCGTGTCCACGATGAAGCACTTGGCCTTCTGGAGACGCTCCATGACTGCGTCCTTGTGCGTCAAACTCTCCTCCGATAGGCCGCTCATTTCAATCATGTCGGTGATGCCCGAAATACTGTCCTCCAGCAGTCCCAAGGCATGTAAAGTGCGCGTCTTGAGCCAAAGCTTGATGTTAGTGTGCTGCCGGAACATCGCCACAATGTCCCGAAACTTGGGGCAAATGGTAATGAGTACAGAAACTTGCTCTTCTCCTGCTCCATTCGTACCCTGGAGGAAGTCACACAGCACGCTGATGACCGCAGGTGGGATACCCTCGAACACGATGCCTGAAATCACTGAAATCAAATGCTTAACGCCTGCATCTGCCGAATCCGAACTGCACGCAGACTTCAACGTGTTGGCATCGGACAAGTGTCTGAACAACGCTGAGCTCTCAACTGAGTAAGTCCTGTGCACGCGCTTCGTCAGGCTGAGCGCGCGTTCACTGCTCCACTCATCCCTCACAGGCGGGTTGTTTTTGATAAGCCCTACGATGGTGGTCAGGATGCCAGGGCCCGAGGACAACGTGTGAAGGACGCGCTTCAGCTCGGCCCAGGACACGCCCTGCTCCTCGCACTGCTTGGCAAATTTGGCGTCTGATGTCTTAGCCTTCTTGGCCTTGGGTTCGTCCTCCTGGTCATCGTCGTCATCCACCTGGTTGAAGTCGCGGTCGTCCGCGCGTGGCTGCACCTCGTAGAAGGCTGCGATACATTTTTTCACGCGTGGGCGAAGCTTCCTCCAGCAGTCGAACACTTTGAAGTTTGATGATCCAACCCTTTCCAAGATCGCTGCTGATATGACCTCAGGAATGTTTGCAGAGCCGTCGCCTTCTTCGCAATGATCCGTCGCCCCATCGGGATGCAAGATGAAGCTGATCCATGTAGGCTCCCTGAAGACCTTGATATCTGGAAACAGAACAGTACCAGTTATTCCAAATTCCAAGCACCAGACCAGCACTCGCGAGTGCAGTGCCGGCTTCAAGTCCTTCTCTGGCACCTGCTCTGTCGTGAAGGCGATGGCGTTGACGGCATCGTCGATGAATAGAGTCTTCCTGCCGCTCTTCATGGTCGACGTCAGCTCCTCGCACCTCTCTGGCTCCAGCTGCTTAGCCTTGGCTTTGCTCTTGGCCTTACTCTTGGCCTTCCCTTTTGCCTTCGCCGTCGCCGTCGCTGTTGACGATGTTGGCTTCTTCTCTGGCGCCGCTGGCGCCTGGCTCGCGGTGAAAAGCTTGGATTGCTCCATCGCCTCCAGCACGAGCTTCACCTTGGGGATATCCTCACGCCTCTTAATGATCCAGGGTGTCCCGTCATTCGTGGGCACGGCGAGCTTCACTACTCCGGCGAAGTACTCGATGAGGTCGTGATGCATCAAATTCTGCAAGATTTTGTCGAATAGAAGGTAACACGGGCCGAGCTTCAGGGAGACGTCTGAAAATACACAATGCTCATTCATGTAAGCGGCGAAGTCGTTGTATGGGGTGGCACCGTGCCGATCAATATAGTCTTTGACCTGTCTCCCTTCCTTTCCAGTCTTCTTGTTGATGCGATTCCAAAACTTCCGCGCGGATATGAAATCATCGAAGGTATGGTAATATTGCTTGTAGTTGGCCAAGATGAACGCACGGTAACTCTTCGTGTACTCTGATTGTTCCTCCTTAGATTTCTTGCCCTTCCCGCCGGCGACGTCCTCATCATCAAGCTCGTCGTCTCCTTCCTCCTCACCTTCAGCGCCGCCGCCATCTCCACCAGCGGTGGCATCGCGCTCATCCTGGCGCTGCTTGAGGAAATGCTTGGAGACGCCATCGACACGAGAGTACCCCTCCAAGAACGACGCCGCCGCGGCCACGTTGTTGAGCATGTTGCCCATGGCCTTAAAGTACTGTAGTGCATCTTGCGGGGTACGCTGAAACAATATGGCAACTTGGATGCCACCCTGTATTGAAGTATTCACCTGGGCGTTTCTGCCCTTCGTCTCTTTCCATGCATCGTACGTCGCCTCCACCAGGTGCGCGCCTGCAATCACCTCATGCTCGCCGCCAAACCCCGCGGGCACGACCACCACTTCCGACCTGGCGCCCTTGTAGAGGCCGTGCTTCTTGATGATGCATGTGTAGCGCTCCCGCGTGTCCCGCTGGTCTCTGTCGTTCAAGGGGTGGCGCTTGAGAAGCTTGACTTCGCCCCCGGGGCCCGCGGGATCACCTTCCGCGAAGAATCTCACAGTGACGTTCTCCTGGGCTGAACATCTGAACATCTGAACCACTGGACCACTCAACCCAGGACCCACTGGCACACCCAGGCCCCCTTCCCGTCGGACTTGGCCAGGAGGATACCCGAGAGGACACAATACTCTTCGCGGCAACGTGACCCTAGAACACCAAAGGACATGCGGGTTCGGGTTGCATAGTTCGGGATAGGACATAAGGGTACCCAGGGTACCATCGACTTGGCATGGTCGACCTACCAATCAGGGCCGACTGTAGTCAGCCTCCTCCTACGAGCCTTTTGCAGGCCCCTGCCAGGAAAGGGCTCAGGCTCACAGTTTTTCACCATCAATCCTTGTCGACGAAAGATCCACGAACCCTGTCCTGAAGGCAGCGACCTTCAAGTCCAGGCCAGCGCTGGTATACGGTCTCGGGCTCAGACGACCAGATGCCATAACCACCGCCAGCTGAGTCCTATGGCCCACGGCTAGTAGCGCCCAGGTGCAATCGCAGCGATCAGGGCCGATCGGGGGGGGGGGATTCGCCCACCATTGACTTATGTCCCAAAACTGTTTGGGCCCCATGCCGTCCTTTCCCGATGGCGACTTGAAGTCGACGTCGGGAACGGCATGGGGCCCATCCACCCCCGCCCCCAGACCGTCTCAGAGTTCGGTCGGTCGGTCCTGCGCCATCGCCCGCACAAGCGGCCCCCTGGCCGACGAAGAAGAGAGAGTCGGGAACTTCACACCACCAGTGTGAATTCTGAATGCGATGCAAGCGCCAGCCAGGCTGACAGAGCTAAGCTGAGCCAGACGAATACCGATCTCAACTCGTTCGTTGGAATGTTCGGTCCTCCTTCCTTCCTCCTTCCTCTCCCTCTCTCCCTCTCTCCCCCAGCTTCTCGCTCGCTCCCTCCTCTCGTCACTCTCTCTTCTTCTCTATCTCTCTCTCTGATCTAGGCGGGAGGACTTGTTGGGCCAGACAAAGGGTAGTAGACGGAGTGGTGGAGGAGTGGAGGAGGGCCTTGAGGGCCTGAGGAGGAGAGACAGAGGCAGGAGGTTGGGGGAATCAAAAGGTACCTAAGGTACCGATACCAATACCGACCGCTACACTCCGCGGACCTCTCCCAAGGCGCGGTCTGACCAGGATGTCCAGGCGAATCCAGCGGCGTTGACTTACGAGTGTCTCCCAGGAGGCCAAAAAATAAAGAAGCGTAGCGGTATGGGTAGGGGGGTATTGGTGTTCTAGTCTGGAAGCTCTTTCTGCTGCCCTGCCTGCCGCCCACGACGCACAGGCCTGTAACAGGCGATCCGGAGCATGCGAACGCCACGAGAATAATACTGTAGATCGAGCGTTGCGGCTGAAGTCGATGGACGCTGCTCGCTTGTCGTGAGCCTCGTGAGCTGCAAAGACGCACACGTGCCGTTCAAAACCCGCAAGACGGCCTAGTTGTGTGGTGAAAAGAACTACAACATTGCACATGAGCCGAGTTTGGTCCGTCGGACGCAGCGCCCAACACGAGCTAAGGCACCTAAGTACCACCAGGACTCGGCCCAAGGCAACTCAACGATGAACAGCTCACGACAACTTATGCATACGAACTATACAAACTTGCTTGAATCAAGCGTCTACCTCTGGCCTGACGTACTCGGTAGACCCCGGGCCCGACCCCCTCACTCATATCCATCCTCCTCCCATCCTTCTCGCCTTCTCGACCCGGGGCCAGGACCGGGGCCAGGATCGAATCTGATCACATACGCACCCATTGACACTCACTCACTCGAGGCGGCGGCGAGTGTTCCGCCCACTGAAGAGCTCGTCGATGAGCTCCGCGAAACGCCGCACATAACGCCCATCAGCATCACCACCCCTGGCAGGCGGCGGCCAGCACAGCAGCGCAGGCGGGGGAGGTGGCCGAGAACAGGCCCAAAACCAGGCGTCAATGTTTTCAAAAAAATTGACGCCCTCTTTTTGGCTTAGATTTCCTCCCGAGGGGTGATGGGGCCCTCTCTCACAGGGCCGCGAACAGGCCGAGAACAGGCCCAAAACCAGGCGTCGTCAATGTCAATCTTTTCAAAAAATTGACGCCCTCTTTTTGGCTTAGATTTCCTCCCGAGGGGTGAGGGGCCCTCTCTCACGGGGCCGCGAACAGGCCGAGAACAGGCCCAAAACCAGGCGTCAATATTTTCAAAAAAAAAAAAAATGACGCCCTCTGTTTGGCCACAGGGGTCACGGGGTCGCAGTGCAGGCAGCACAGGACACGCAAGGGACTTGGAGGGCCCTAAGCCCCAAAAAACAAAGCTCAGGCCCCGAAACTAGCCAACCTCGTGACGGTACCCTGACACGGAAGGCTGGAGCAAAGATGGGCGGGGGTGCCCTAGAGGACCTACGAACCCAGATGGACCCATGGACCCAGGCTCCTGGACGGATTCTGGATTTTAAATTTCAAGAGCTGGAACGAGGAAGGAGGGAGGAGTGGGGTTTTCAGAAAATGACCTCCCCACGACAACCTTACCCAGCATGGGAAACTTGAGGATGATGTAGAGCAGCGCGGGGCCGATGCTGCCGACGTGCATCGCGTTCCCCACGGCCCTCACCTGCGAGGCACGGGTCCGTGACGCGGGCGCCGGAAAGCCAAGGCTGAAGACGGTGCTGGCCCTGGCGTGCGCGGACGCGGCGCTGTCGACGGGGAAGCCCGCGCTCAGCCACAGCTCCCGCGGGGTCATCCAGCGGACGCAGTTCATAGGCGCACGTGGCGGAATCATCATGATGCCAGCGCCCGCGATGAGCGTGTTGAGTACGCCGTCAGAGCTGCGCATGGCGCGGTGGTCGGGATTCTGGCCGAGGTCGACGACTTGCTGGGGATAACGGTGCCACAGGGTATGCAAGCGCGTCCGCTCATTGATGGTCAGCATCCCGAGGAAGCTGTCCCGGTGGTCGTGGAACGACGCCACGTGTGCATCGACTTCGCCCCCATCGGGATGATACCGGGCCCGCGCGCCAGGACGGCTCGATGCCCGGCGCTTCTCCTCCTCCAGCTCGTCGTCCGTGGCGATAATGTACTCGCGCCACGTGTGGTCCAAGCGGCGGCTGAAGATCCGCTTCATGCTCGAGCTGTAGCTCATCTGCCACATGACCTGGCCGAACGACTCAGTCGCACCTCGTGGGGTGACATAATGGTGCGCAGTGTGCCCCCGAGCCGACGGGCTCGGGGCGCCCAACAACCCAAAAAGAAAAGGGAGGAGGATTCTCCCGCTCGCGCGCTAGCGAGCTGTCTCCGAGCGCGGCCGCGGCTCGCGCGCGCGGGGCGGCCCAAAATGGGCAGGCCCGTCCCGCGCGCTCGTGCCGGGGCGCCGCGCGTCAGGCGGGGGAGACCGCCTGCTCGCCGACGACGGCGAGGCAGCGCCCATCAGCCTTAGATTGGGAGAGGAGGGAGGGGGGCAGAGAAGCTGCGGAGACAGCAGGAGCTTGCTCACAGAGAATAGAAGAGGCATTCTCCCGCTCGCGCGCTAGCGAGCTGTCTCCGAGCGCGGCCGCGGCTCGCGCGCGCGGGGCGGCCCAAAATGGGCAGGCCCGTCCCGCGCGCTCGTGCCGGGGCGCCGCGCGTCAGGCGGGGGAGACCGCCTGCTCGCCGACGACGGCGAGGCAGCCATACCCGTGCTCAAGGACCTTGCGAAGTGACAAGGTTTCGGCGGGCGGCCGCAAGTAGGGCAGGCCAAGCGGCGGGGCCGACTTGGAGAAATGAAGCGACAAGGCGGTCGCTGGCGGTGGCGAAGAACAGGATCCGCGCCCGTGCGGGCACGGGCAGCGCAGCAAGAACTGTGGAAGCGGCGGCGGCTTGCAGGTAGCGCTCAGCACTGGAAGCCTGGCGCCAACGCCCCCGCCAGAAGACGCGAGGGACGTCTTCCGTAGCGATATAGAAGTCTGTTGCGCCAGAGCCCCGCAGACATGCGGGCGTCAGGTTGAGCCCCTGACCCGCTTTGGCAAGAGGGACGCCCAGGGCCGAAAGCAAATGATTCCACCGAGTACGGAAGCCGCTCGCACCGAAAGGGGCGAGAGGATCGGTGGAAGCCAACCGCCCAAACACTTGATTCAGAATCTTCACCGTGCCCCGATCGGAGCAGCGAGCATGCTGCGTCGGGTACGTTCTCCTGGTCTTTGGAACAAGAATCGAAAGAAAAGCATCCCCTTCAACTTCGAGGCGGTCGCAAGGAAGCGACAAGTCACAGCGGCGTGACGCCAGCAGCTCGCCAGGCCTGAGGAACATCGTAAAGCCCATGAGCAGCAAGGCCGCCATCACAGGCCAGTCCCAGGCGAAACAGAGACCGACCATAGCGCGCAGCAGAGCGCGAGGTAAGGGCGGGCGGAGCTTTGGCGGCTCCGCGAGCTTCCATTGTTTCGCTACGTCCCAAGCTTCTGTTAGAAAGGCCTTCCAATGCGGATGAGCGCTCTGGATTCCCAAGATGGCATGAACCAGAATATAATGAGGGAAACCTGCATCATGAAGCCACACGCCGAAGGTCGCGAGGAAGCGGGCGAGAAGTATCCCGCTACGGTAAAGAGTGGCGGGCGGCACGCCAGTGTGTTCTGCTAACCACAGTTCGAACGCATCAATCGATCTCGAGCGACGATCGAGATACGCGGAGGTGAGGTGAGAATCGCGCACGAAGGGAGTGCGCGGAGGGCGAGCGGGCGCGGAAGGCGCAGCCCGACTAAGCCCTTGGCCTGCGGTCGGCGCCGCGGCTCCCAGAGAGATGCAGAGGCCGCAGACGCACCACAGGATGAGCGCAGGGCGGCCAGGGCTGGGAGAGCTGATCAGCGTGGCGGCCCTCCTGCTCCTGGACGCGTAGAAGGGCGGAACGAGGGTGTCCCGCCCGTCGGTCTCGAACCCCGACGCCTCCGCCAGCATCGCCCGCGCCGAGGTGAAGGATCCGCCCATGTTACGGTGAGCACGGCGAGCCCCTGCTTCGATCTCGGCGGGCAGAGCGCCCCTCCCTCGAGGGTCGCCCAGTCAAAGGGCGGGCGCGGCTCGGCGCGCGCAGCTGCGGCCGATTCGGCGAGCTCGGAACGAGCTGCCGAGGACGTGAGGCCCGAATGATGTGGAACGGGCACCACCTCCGCGAACGCGTCGAGGATCTCGGACGGAGGGGAATGAGATCCCCACAGCGCTGCTGGGATGGCGCCGTGACCGTCCTGCACGTGGTACAGAAGGTCGAAAAGGCAGGCCAACTTGCCCGCGCGCCTCCTGTGCTCGATCTTTGAGCCGAGCCCGATGCCACGGATGGCGCCCGCCCCCATGGCTTGGAGGTCAGCGCCCGCGGGGATAGCCTCGGGCTCGACGGCGGCCACGTAAGGATGCAACCACGAGGCTTCGTCGATCGGCTCGGCGCCGCCTGTCTGAAACAGGCGCTTATAGGCGTGCAAGGCCTGCAGGAGGCAGTGCAGGTCATCTCTGCCCTCGGGCTCGGCGGCCCCTGCGGGTGCGAAAGACCTCAGCCACGACGCCGCGCTCTGGAAGGCAGCTTGCCAGGCGGGTCCCCACCTCACCACTGTGACCTTCTCACCGCCGAGGTTGAGACGCCACGCTAGGGCGGTGGCGGCCCCTGGAGGCAAGGGCTGCTCAACGGCCGCGGAGGCCGTGCGCCGCGCTGCGAAGGCTGCAGCCGCGGCGCTCCCAGCGTCGCCGCTGTGGGAGCCGCTGGGATGCAGCTCGTGCCCTGAATCTCGGCCAGGCGCGGGGCCGCTCGAAGACCCCCTTTCCTCGGCGGCACGCCCTCCGCCCTGCGGGGCCGCAACAGCATCGCTGGAGGAGCGCGTGCCTACCGAAGACTGAGGGGCCTGAGCAGCGGAGTCCGCGCGGGAGCTGCCTGCGTGGGCGTCGCCCGAGCTCGCACCATGGCGGGACGTGGCTGGCCGCTGCGCAGTAGCGGGGCTCGGGCGCCGCTTCGGAGCGACTCGAGGGGAGCGCACCTCGCGACGCCGAGGCGACGTCGCCTGACGCGAAGGCGCGCGAGAGGAGCCGCGCGCGACGGCCCGACTAAGCCCCTGGCCTGCGGTCGACGCGCGGGATCGCGACGCCGCACGCCCACCAGAGTGGTGAGGGGGCGGCGGCGGCGGCGGGGGCACGGGCCGCGGAGTCTCGGAGCCTACACGCGTGCCGCGGCCCCGAGAGCGACTGCGAACCGAGGCGCGAGCGGCGGGCGGAGAGGCCCCCGAGCGGCGAGGGAAGGCCGCCTGCAGGCGGCGGAGGACCTCGGGGTTCAGGCCCGCCACGACGCGCTCGAGGTCCATCGAGGAGTCTGCGAGGGCACTCAGCACGACGTCCTCGAGCTCCGTCGGAGAGTCCTCGTCGCACGCGGGCTCCGCTCTCGAGCGGCTGCGAACGCTCGCGGGCGGGGGCCCGTCAGGAGTGTGCGGGCCCTCCGATGCCTCCCCCGCAGGCGGCTCCGACGGCTCCTCGGGCGAGATCGGGCCGTTGACGGGAGGCGACGAGCAGCCCCCCGAGGGAGAGGTGCGGTCGGTCCCGTACGGGTTTGGAGACCGCGTACGGCTGCGGGCAGGGCTGCGGCTCCGCGGTGGGGAGCCCACTCCCGCGGCGGAGCTGGGGCGTGCCGCGCCTGCCCAGCGGCGCGCATTGGCAGTGCGACGCGCCCTGCGGCCAGGCGCCGTGGCGGCCCCCCCCTCAGGGGCGGGGAGCGCCGCCATCGAAGCCCGCCGCTGCCTGGCGGCGCGCCTGGTGCGCGCGGCGCCCGTGCGCGAGGCGGAGTGCGGCGCGTGACCACCGCGGTTGGGCTGGTCCTCGACCGCTTCATCCCGCGGGCCCAGGCGGGCGCGGACCGCGCGCCGCTCACGACGGCTGAAGCTGGACGCAGGGTCGTCGGCGGGCCTTGCCAAGGCGCGCGGGTCCTCAGCCTCCACCTCGGCCAAGGAGCGGCCAGTGGACGACGCGGGTGCGTCCCCAGCACGAGCGGCACGTTCTGCGATGGCGAGGCCCGTCGAGACCTCAGCGTTGTGCAGGACGGCGCGCAAGGTTTTGCGCCAATCCCGACCCAGCTGGACGGGAGCAGTGCGCGGCAAGCCCGCGGCCTCTCGACTGGCGGCCTCGCGCACGCGTCGGAAGTAGGCGCGATCGGCCATCCCTTCCGCGAGCTCGGCACGAGCGACGGCACGCTCTCCTTCGCCGCGTGCAGGAGCCTGCACCGTGCGCCTGGTGGCGTCGGCACGCGCGGTGCGGAGTGCGTCGAGCTCCACGCGGCCGCGCGACACGGCGGAGACGAGGGTGGCATCCGACTCAGCCGCCCGCGTCGCGAGGGCAGACGAAACCCCGCCCCTCGGGAGAGGCGCGCCCGAGGCGGGGAGGGCAGCCCGAGGGGCCAGCTCGGCGCTCGCAAGGGCGACCCGCGAGGAGACCGCCTCTTCGAGCGCCTGAAGGGCCATGGTCGACCCTGGAGCCAGCTTGCCCTTGCGGGCGCCCTTTCCTGCCGCCTTGGCCCGGGCGTAGGCGCGGGCGGCAGGACCGTCGCCGCCCGTGCTAGGAACATCGGGCGGCGCGGCGGCCTGCGAGACGGCCTGGAGCAACACTGACTTGGCGTCACAGAGCTGCTTCCACTTCAGCGCGCGGGCTGCTCGCTCGTCGGCGCCCAGGTGCGCGGGAGTCCTGTCTGGATGGTAGACTAGGGACTGGCGCCTGAAGGCGGCCTCAATTGTGCCGCGCGAGGCCCCGTCCACTACGCCAAGCAGTTGGCGAGAGGCGCTCACCCTGGCCGCTCGCTGGAAGGTGCGGGGGGTAGCTGCTGAGGCCCCCTTTGGCGCTTCCCGCGAGCCGACGCGCGACGAGCCCACCCCGATAGCAGGCGGAGGGGCCGCCGCGGCCTTGGAGCGGAGGGCCAGTGGCGGAGCACGCTTGGCGGCCTGGGGAGCCGATCCTGCGCTGGCGGCGCCAGGGTCGGGGCCGGGCGAGCCGCCCTCCGCGGAGGCAGACGCTTTTGGCGTGGCGTCTGCCGAGGACGCGAGAGGCCGTTCGCTGTCAGCGAAGAGCGCGTTGCGAGGCCCGCGACGCTCTCCGCTGGCGAGAGCAGCTTCACTGCTGCTCTCGGCGGCGCCCGAGGGGTCAGGTGCCTCCCCCTGGGCGCCGTCGCTGGCGGCGTCGGCGGCCATCCC